TTCTGCCTTCATCACCATAGGCTCCTGCTCAAATGTTATTTCATTAAATCCTTCTGTATCTTCCAATTCCTTTTGATACAATGACTCAGTATATTCCTTCCATTTCTTTTGATACCTCCTGGATCATTTAACATTGTGCCTAAAGCATCCTTGATTGTAGCAACTCGAGGTTTGAATTTATTCTTCAGTTCCTTGAGCTTAAGAAATGCTGAACGAGGCTGTGCTCTAATTAAAGTCTTTGCATTCCACCGTAATTCCCTTCCAAGTAATTGATTATTCCCTTCTCAGACCACATCCTGGGTGACAATTACATCAATATTGCCTTTTATCCTGCCACTCTATCATCATGTTTTTGTTGTTGTGTACTCTGGAGTTGGAATCAAACCATAACTGACCCGCCAGTGGGTTTTCCGAGGTAATTAATCACACAAGAGGAAATTGCCCATCCTTCCCCTATGGAGTAGGTGGTGGTCTCAAACAGTGTGCCTTTGAGATTGCAACACAGCTTCTTGCCAGTAGGCCCCCAGCGCACCTTAACACCATAGAGGTTAAGTAATTACATGATAGGGAGAATCATGGCTAAGGAAGCTGACACCTATTTTGGGGGGATAAACAGTAAAATCCATGAAAACATGTAAGAACCTTTTGTCACCTCGGCCATTTTTATATGTCCAATCTAATGGCATTGTTAAATTCTAGATTTTTTTTTTTTTCACTTCCATTAATAGAAACTTAGGAGCTCTGATTACTTTGTGGTAAGGTGTTGTGCTGCCAACCCAAAAACACACCATTCAAATCCACCATCTGCTCCATGGGAGATGGATAATCTCTTGCCCTGCAATTTATTGTTGTTGTTGTTGTTATGTACCATCGAGTAAAGTAAGACTCATAGTGACCCTGTGAACAACAGATCTGAACCCTGTCCTATCCTGTGCCATCCTCATCATCTCTGACATACATACTTGAGACCATTGTTTTAGTCACTGTGTCAATCCATCTACTTGAAAACCAACTGGGAGACCAGCGATTAGTCTGTTCTGACTCTATGGTACATAACAACAGAAACTCAGCACTCTTTAAGTAGTCCTTCCCCATTCCACCCTCCTCCCAACCCCACTAGGGACCACTAGTAAACTTTTTTCTCTGTGTCTTTGCCTATATTTCATCTAAGTGAGTCATATCTTATTTGTCCTTTTTGTCTGACTTAATTTCACTCAGCATGTTTTCTAACTTCTCTACTTCATAGCAGGCATCACAACTTCGTTTCTCATTTGCTGTTGTTGTTATGTGCCCTCAAGTCACCTGCCACTCAGAGCAAACCTGTGTACAACAGCTCTCACCCTGCCCTATCCTGAGCCAGTCTCACTGTTTCCAATACACTTACCTCCATTAACCCAATTACTGTTCAATCCATCTCATCCAGGATCTTCCTCTCCTGCACTATCTCTCCACCTTTCTAAACATGATGTCCTTCTCCAAGGACTGGTCCTTCCTGGCAACATGCCCAAAGTACATGAAACAGAGCTTCAAAATCCTTGCCTCCAAGGAGCATCTTGGTTTCACCATCTCCAGGACTGAACTAACTGTTATTTTGGCAGTCCATAGTATATTCAATACTCTTCTCCAGCACCCCAACTCAAAGGCATTGATTCTTCTTCTATCATCCTTAGTCAGAGAACTTAACAACAGGAGTCTTTCTTGTAGAAAGTTAAATGAAATATTCCCTTTCCTTAACAAATAAACACACTGAAATTCTTACATTTAAAATAAAACCAGTATAAAATTTTTAAAAAGGCTAAAATGTGGTCTAGAAGAAACAACATTGGACTGAGTAAAGAGATCTGAATCTAGTAATGACTCATTGTCCTACTTACTGCATCTATAAGATAAGAAGATTGAATTATAACAGAATTGCTAGAATTTTCTGCACTTATGATCTAGATCTTTTATTGAGTAAAAGTTCTTAATCTTTTCAAAACATGCTTTCTCATTTTATCTCCTGTTCACTGCCACTTGTCAAGAATTTGCTGAGCTGTTTTTACTTAGTTGGCATAAAGAAAGCAAGAATAGATTCAATTTGTTGGATTCCAGTTACATAGAACCATGCCCTCTGCCCACAGAATTTATGCCCCTCTGGTGGAGCCCACTATGAGAGACCTTGGTCCAAATTTTAGTTTTGTTTCTGTGATCTGGTTCAGGCTGTCTAACTTTTCTGTGCTCCCACTTACTTAACTGCACGGTATAAGGGAAATAACACCGGTGTTTACCTTATAGGACTATCTGATGACTAAATTATTTAGGATATTAGAAACATTAATATTATTAGGACATTAAAAAAGAGTAAATTATCAATATAATATTATCTTGTTTTAAAAAGAGCAAATGACATGTGGGGGTGGCCATGTCTCACCTTTACCAGCTTCGCAAAGGGAAACTGTCCCCATCAACAACATCAAGAACACTGAACCAATTCTCATGAAGTCAAATATATCCCCCACACTCCCATATCTCTTTCTACTCATTTAAACACCAATCTTACTGCTTTACTGGGTCCAAAATCTGACACAATAGCTCACAGACCATATAGAACCATAGTGGGTAAGTAAAAAATATAATCCAGATTAATAACAGAATGCTGTCAAGACAGTTCCTGAAATGTGTTCACAGGTACCTCAGTCTCAAACCTCACCAGTGTTCCCAAGTTCTCAGTCCTGCCAATATTGGCTTCCCACAAGGTTTCTAGGTAATACATAAAGGTTAGTTTTGACTATTAACCAAGTAGTTTCACAGAAGAAAGGCCTGGGGCCAGCTTCAGCAAAAAACCGAGAAAACTCTACAGTACAGTTCTACTTTGTAGCAATAAGGATATCATGAGACTAAATCAAATAATAAAGAGCAATTGGCATTACACTTTTTATTAGACCAATTACCTATACTTGCTATATTAAGTTATAACTAAGTATAAAAATTATATTATTTGTTAATGATGACATCTCTGTTTCTAGTTACTCTTTCAAGTTTATCTGTGGGGTCTTATTTAATTATGTTGCATTCCCTATGCATAGTTTTCATCATAAATCAGTGTAAATACTATAGAAGACATTGTTTTTTATAGAATAATTTGAAGTTTCATAATCTTCACATTGGAATCTAATGGGGATTTATCCACTCATCATTTATTGCTGTTTCTACCTTCTAATTTTTTCTGCACAAGGTACTTGTGCTACCATCTCTTCTTTTAGAAAAAGGTAAATTCAGCATTGACTTTCAAGGGCATTAAGAATTTTAAAATACATCCTTTAAAGAGCACTGAGATAGTTTCAGGAAGACTACTGTGGATGAGTCAAATGTCAAAGCTTATAACAAATGGGACAGATGTAACCCAATAAATTAATATTTGGGTTGTATAATATGCAACCCAATCACTAAAGCTTTTTTACTTTTTTCTCACATGCCCAAGATCTAAAGGAATTGTAAGCTCCTCTCTGTTGGTCCTGGGAGTGTCCTTAGAGACTGTCTTGTTGAAAGACTTCACACCAGTGTCTATGAGAATTTGTGAATGTGGGGAACTGTGAGTGTGATGTCTTTGACTATTCTCATGGTCCATTAATCTGAACACTAATAGAAAGTCAGGTGAGTTGGAGAATCCAGGAGCTCAATTGATATGTTGCACTGCTCCAAAGAAGACTTTCTGGCAAAGAAGAATAATAGTGAAATCTTGAGACTGAGCTCTGCAGTCTTCTTGGGGGTATTGATATTTACTGCTGGACTGACTCTTTTCCTTGTACCTGGATTTCAGGATAAGGAAGGCGGTTTCATGGTCAGAGACTCCAGTCAGCCAGGCATGTACACAGTCTCCCTTTACACAAAATTTGGAGGGTAAGTAGCCTGGCTTTATCTTCAAGTCCAGTAACCTTTCGTATGAAATTTCTTCATTTAAAAAATTTATACTGCATACCACTGTTTTAAAAAAAAATCTAATCTTGGTGTCTTAAGTCTGAACTATTTTTCTGTATATGTATTTTCAATATTTCCCCTATTATTTGGATTTTTTTTGTTTTTTTTTTAAATCTGTTGTAGAGAATGACTACAGAATCTTACTTAACATTCAATAAATAATTATTGTGCACTGTGTTAAGTATTAAGAGCAAAGCACACATGGGCTTATCTTTAAGTAGAATAGTAGGGGTGGCCTAGTGGGTAAAGAGTTGTGCTTCCATTCCAAAGGCCAGAGATTCAAATTCACCAGCTGCTCTGAGGTAAAAAAGATGAGCAGTCTCTTCTCATGGGATTTACAGCCTCTAAAATCTTGTTGAGAGAATCAGCCATGGGTTTGTTCTAACTTGCTGACACATAGCAACAACAACAGATAAGCTGTGCTCTATGAGTGTTATGAGAGGTGACAAAGCTGGAGTGTAACCTCATCTCCTTGAGTTAGTCCTGAAAGGTTTTCGAAGCAATGTCAAGGTGAAATCTGACTAGTGAGGTAAGCAAAAATTGAAGAGAGGGAAATGCTTCTGACCAGATCAACTTCCGGTGCGAGGACCCAGAGGAGAAAGATGATGAATTTGAGGAACTGGAATGAGCCTATTGGAGTATAAAGTGGGAGGGACAGAGTGATGGGAGGAGAGAGAACTCTGGAGAGGAAAAAAGAGAGGCCAGGCTATGTCCGGCTCAAGAGTTTAAGATTTTATCAAAAAGAGAAATGGGAAGTTATCTTGAAAGGGTTCTTTCCAGGAGATGACTTGAGAATATCTGTGTCTGCTGTTATGTTGTATGACTGGCTCTGACTCACAGCAACCCTGTGAGCAACACGTCAGAAGTTCGCCTGCATTATAGAAACGTAAAGAACCCCTCAGCCTCATGGCTGACACTTACTGGGGCTGACGGAGTGGGTGAGGCTGTTTCAGAAACTGTAAACCACACAGTAGGAGATTGCTCACCCTTCTCCTCAGAATAAACCTGTGCCTCCAGATAGATGCAGCTCAACTCTCTACATCCATTCTCACCAGTGTTTGTGAAGATAGTAGACATGAATTATATACCTTTTGTAAGTTTAATGTACTGACTTTAAGTGGAGTAAGTACTCTAGATAGATCCACATTTACAATAGCAGAAACAAAAAACAAGAACCCTCTAAGTTAAGATGTTCTGCTGCTATTGTAGTTGGAAATACTCTGTAAGGAATCACGTATGTTATCAGTGACCTCCTCAAAAGCTTCCACCTGTTGGGGTTGGGGGGAGACTGAGAAAGAGGATTATGAAGTATGTATAAATTATGTATACTGCATTGAAACAGATGAGGGAGAGCACTTTTTAAGAGGGATATATGACTAGGTATTATTGTCATGACAGAAGTCCAGAACAAAGGCTGCATAGTGGAGTGGACTTGAGGGGATGGACTGCATATCAGTGAAAGAATTTTTCTTTTACTTTTCAAAGAGAAGAGTGAACTGGGGGAGAGGGGTGGGCAGGGAAAAATGTGCAACAATGAATGAATAGAAATCCAAAATATCTGTAAATGTTCATTAAAATTAATAATAAAATAATAAAAAAAAGAAGAAAGTGAAGAAAAAGGGATCCTCAATAGAAAACATCTTAAGAATGCTTTTAATCAATTTGGCTCTGACACGTTTTGTTATTTTGATTGTTATAGAGAAGGTTCTTCAGGCTTCAGGCATTATCATATAAAGGAAACAACAACATCTCCGAAGAAGTATTACTTAGCAGAAAAGCATGCTTTCGCTTCAATTCCCGAGGTTATTGAGTATCATAAGCACAATGCAGCAGGTGAGTTAAAAACCCATTTCAAATGGAAAGCAGTTCTAAAAATCAGACACGGTCCCTGATAAACAGTGTCGTACTTAAAATGACTTGTGGAATGATCTAGAGAGTAGCTACACTTCTGTCCAGTAAACAAAAAGCCTATTTTCCCCTCTGTCTGTTTTTGCTTCCAACCTGCCCACTTGCCTCGGTGCCTCCCCCCTCCTTTTGCTAGAGCTACACACAGTAACTTCATTCTTAATGTGTTTAAAATATGATGTCATTCTTAAGATTTTTTTTTCTACATATGGACTCTTCTTGTCTCTGATCAAATTTCCTCCTACATTTTTCTTCACCACTGACAGCTTGTGTTGTACGCACGCATAGAAGATGACTTGTGAATGAACAAAAGAGGAAATTTTATAAGAGAGTTTCTAGTTTAGTGCATTCAGAACAATTAAGAATTATTTTTCTACAATATTATTCTTGTTTTCTAGGCCTGGTCACAAGGTTACGGTACCCTGTTAGTGTAAAGGGGAAGAATGCGCCCACTACTGCCGGATTCAGCTATGGTAACTCTCATTTTTTAGATGCATTGGCTCATTTTTCTTGAAAATAATCTCTTAACAGCAAGGCAAATTTTCAGATGTACAGACTCTCACCTTGTTGTTGGTGGTGTGTGCCTCTGAATCAGAACTGACGCACAGCTAGCTGACCTTCCAGAGGCAGTAGATGTGACATGAGGTGTTTGCCCGTCTTCCTCCTGTGGACATCTGGTAAACCCGAGCCACCTGTCGGGTTTATTGATTGGCAACACAGCTCCTTAGGCCACCCGAGCTCCCTCACATAGTGGAAGTGCTTTAACAAATGACGAGTATTACACAAAAGTAACCCTAGCCTTTGGATTTTCATAATTCAATAGAAAACTTTGATAGTGTAAAAAAGAGTATTAGCATGTAATATCTAAAATGATCCAAAGCTCTTCTCCTCACCATCTTTGTTACTTAAAGGGATGCAAGGATGGATGGGATAGAGAAGTCACCCAGCTTGACTGTCTTTGTTACTTTGAGCAAAAGTTTTCATATAGCTGACTACATTGTTTACGAGGTCCTTGGATTGCTACCAACAGTTTGCACTGGACTACAACCAAAACGTGGAAGGTTCAGACTCACCCAGAGCTAGTGCCAAAGAAAAGACCTGGTCATCTGCTTCCATAAAAATCACTGCCAAGAAGACTCTATGAAGCGGTTCTCTCTGTCAGACGCAGGGTCATCATGAGTCAGACTCAGGTTGATGGCATTGTGATTGGTTTGGGTAAATCTCCTCCAACCTTATAGAATTTAGAAATAAAAACAAACTAACAGACTCTGGAGGAATGGATGTTAATGAAAGAAATATTTGTTTAAAATAATAATCCCCAAAACAAACTTTTAAACAATGTTATTATTGTTCTTTTATAAATTATTCCAACTCATAGCTCATCATCTGGTGGGTTTTCAAGGCTATAAATCTCAGGAAAAGAGATCATTCATTTTTCTTCTTGGAGCCACTGGTGGATTTGAACTGCCAGCGAAGCACAGCCTTTGGGTTAGTGGTGCCACGTTCTGTAGTCTACACCACCAGACCTTCCTTTTATTATCTCTCATTGCTGGTGGGTTAGAACCACCAGCCTTGGGTTGGCAATGAAACTCTCTTCAGTTCACTTGGTTCATGTTCTAACAGCCAAGATGGCAGACCACCTATGCCAGGGGTTAGAAAACCACCGTTTGCCTTTAGATTTAAGTTGCAAGTCTGTTCAGCCTTTCCCTGATAACTTTATTATCTTATAACTTTTAGATTGAATTTGGTTTTAGTTTGCTTCCCCCCACCCCTACTGATTTCACCTTGATTTCCTCTCCTTAAATATTCTAATTTCGTCCCTCTGTCTTACAGAAAAATGGGAGATAAACCCTTCAGAGCTGACCTTTATGAGGGAGCTGGGGAGTGGACTGTTTGGAGTGGTGAGGCTTGGCAAATGGCGAGCCCAATACAAAGTAGCCATCAAAACCATCAGAGAAGGAGCAATGTGTGAGGAAGACTTTATAGAAGAAGCCAAACTGATGATGTAAGCTAGGCTACTATCTTCTTCCTGTCTAATTTTTTTTTCACAGAGAAGTAGCCAACCTTATCTGTTAAAACCCAGGCTGGTTTTTGTTTGTTGATTTGATTTGGGCTTTGTTTTGTTTTCCCTCTCCATTTGTAACTATTCTCATACATGTCTTTGCCAGGAAACTGACACATCCAAAGTTAGTACAGCTTTATGGTGTTTGCACACAGCAAAAGCCCATCTACATTGTCGCGGAGTTCATGGAAAGGGGCTGCCTCCTGAATTTCCTCCGGCAGAGACAAGGTCATTTTACCAGGGACATGCTGCTGAGCATATGCCAGGATGTGTGTGAAGGAATGGAATACTTGGAGAGGAACAGCTTCATCCACAGAGATCTGGTAAACCACCGAATTTTCATTCACTTACTGGGTTCCTTTCTTAACACAAATGAACAACAATATAATAATGCTCATATTTTTCCCCTCCAATAATATTTATTTTTAAACTTGGTCAGTTACATGTCAGTTTTATTGCTTGGTTTCATTTTAGACCTGGTCAGTTTAAATTTGAAAGGAAAAATTATTAGATCTTATATTTACATAAGGAATTCTAGTGGCTCAGTGATAAGGAATTGTGCTGCCAATACAAAGGTACGTGGTTCAAATCTGCCACTTGTTCCATGGGAGAAAGATGGTCAGTCAACTCCTATGTGATGTACTGCCTCTGAAAACCTGCTAGAGGGTGCTTATGACTTAAAGATACACAACGACAACAACGATATTCACATACGGAGCTCAGGTGGCCTAGTCCGTAGGGAGTTGTGAGGGATGGACAATCTCTTTCAGTACAATTTACAGCCTCAGAAACATAATAGATTGTTGATGTGAGTTGGTTTCTCCTGGAAGGCAGTGAGAGAATATTTACAAAGTTAGTGTGGCCTGGCAAATTCTCTTGCATTACTCATTTGCTCTCCAGATTTATCCCCTGGAATAGTTAGCCAGGAAAGCTTATATTGCTACTGGAGATTAGCTTAAGGAAGGGCAATGACCTGCCTAATGTGATAAATGAGGAGTTGACTCTGCTTCTCTGATTAAATCCCAAGTTCTTTCTCCCTCACACATCACAAGAAATCGTTTGGTTCGCTTTATTTCTCTTTTGAGTAACTGGAGGGAAGGGAAGGTCTATGTCAGTTCCTGAAATATCAGAAAGGAAACTTTTCTATTATTGATTCTAAGCCATTATAATAAAGACACTTACTTATTTTAGTTCTTTCTTCTGATAAAGTAGGGACCCATTTCTTCTGGAGGAGCAGTAAAGTCAGAGAGTCACCACTTTTGGTTTAGCAATGCGACTTCATAACAGAAGCGCTGTGCTATAATCCCAAAGACACACAGTTCAAATCCATCAGCTGCTTTGCAGAAGAAGAATGGGCAGTCTACTCCCCAATGATCTGCCTGTGATAACCCACTGGAGAGTCAGCTATGGGTCACTCCTGACTTGACTGATAGAACAACAATGACAACATAGCACTAGAGCGCATTTATAGATGGTGAAGCAGAGACACAAATACAATAAAATATCTTGCCAATTTGGCTCTGGAGTCCTCCGTGTAAGGGCTGCACTATGCTGATTCTGTAGATTGGGAGCCGAAGAGCTAGAAATGAAAGATTTGATTTCCTGGTTGTGTTTTGAGATAGCTGCTTAATCACTTTTGGACTCTTCTGCTTAAAACATCAGTTATTAAGTTTTAGTATTGTTTTGTTTACAAGATTGCTTTAAGGAACTTACATGATGGGGCAAAGGGCTGCTTTGTGAAATAGATGATATGATAATACAGAACAGTGATGATTATCTTTATGCTCAATGATGACAATATCTGTATCATATTGAAACTCATGAACTAAATACCTTCCTCTTTTTTATACTTTTGAAAGTAGTGAAAAACGGAGGTCTGTGTGGCTGTGGCAGACTGTACTTGGCAACACAGACCATATTTTGATGAAAGAAATATTTTCTGGTTTTTTTCCTGTGACCATGGCATCTCTGTGAGAATGGCCCAGGATAGGACAGGGTTGAGATCTGTTGTTCTTAGGATCACTGTGGGTTGTAGTTGACAGCACCTAACAGCTACAACAACCACAACAATGGTAGTTTGTACTAAGTGTTTTAACACTGAGAAGGATATAAATTGAAGTATTCTCAGAATAATTCTTCAAGTTAACTATCTGCATCAATGAAACTGAACACAGTACAAGACCTGCTAGTAATGGCTACACATGAAACAGTATTTAAATAAAGGCAGCAGACATGCAGGAGAAAAGTATAGCATTCTGTATGTATAAAGATTCATGATTTTAGAAATCCTTAGGACAGTTCTGCTGTGTTGTCCAGGGTTGGTATGGGTGGGAATCAGCTGTACGGCAGTGAGTTTTGGTTAACACTGAAAATGAGAGCTCTGGCCGGAGTAGTTAAGAAGGAAGATGCTAAAGGAAAAATCAACAGCTTAGACAGGACTGAGTACTTTCAGGCTGGCATGGCTGTAGACAGAAAGTTAGCAGGTTCAACCCACAGGCCTGCTCCTCCAGAGAAAGATGCGCCAGTCTTCCTTCATAGAAGTTTAACCTGAGAAGGGAGTATGGTAACACGCTGTCTTATATACTGTGGGCATATTATCAAGAAAGACCAGTCTCTGGAGAAGGACATCACCAGGTAAAGTGTTGAGTCAGTAAAAGGGAGACTACCGAAGTGGGATGGAATGACCCGGTAGCTCTGAGGGTAGACTCTGACGAAGCAACAGTTGTGACATTGGTGTCAGACCAGACTGACAGTGTCCCCTTCTGTCATACATGATGTCGCTTTGCTTGAAAACCAACTTGATGCTGCCTAACACCCACAGCATTGGGGGTGGGGGAGAAAAAGACTGGAAGTAGTCACTTTAGAGGGGTGTGCCACAGAGTAGAAGATGGGGATTCATGGTCATCCTTCTGCCGTTTGCAAAATCAGTCCCTCGTCCTCACCACTGGCAGCTTCATCTGTCACGTCCAAGTTCCCTCAGCAAATACCCTAAAACTAGTCTAACTGGGATTGGTCAACACATGGCGACCCTCCATTGCGTTTCTGAGGCTGTCAGTCTTTATGAGATGAGACCGCTTGTCTTTCTTCCACAGAGCACCGGTGGATTAGAACTGCTGAACTTTAGATTGGCTTCCCTTGTCCTTGTCCATCACACTGAAGTTCCCTCTGGAAGATGGCAGTAATGAAAGATGGGTGTGGCTCTTTGTGGAAACTTCTTAGAAGTCTCAAGTAACACTTCCCCTTGTACCTCATTGGCCAGAACTTCATCACAAGTCCATTCCTAGCCTAAAGGGAAGTTCAGAAGTGTAGAATTTTATTCCAGGCAACATTGTGTTAGCTGAAAATCAGAGTTGTAGTACCAAGTTTCTCCTTGGAGGCTAGGATTTTGAAGCTCTATCTCACATACTTTGGGCACGGGGCCAGGAAGGAGTGATCCTTAGAGAAGGACATCATGCTTGGAAGAGTGGAAGGACAGCACAGGAAAGGAAGACCCCGCCCAGATGAGATGGATTGATATAGTGACTGGGGCAGTGGGGGTAGGTGTGTAGGAGTCATTGAAACAGGTTCAGGACAGGGCAGGCTTCAGAGCTGTTGTGCATAAGGTTGCTATGAGTCCAATGACACATAACAATAACAACATCACAACATGTTATTGTTTCTAGGTGCCATAAAGGCAAGTATGATTCATGTAGACCCTGTGAACAGCAGATCTGAACTCTGTACTATCCTGCACAGCATATGCTCATGTTGTTATTGTTGTTATTATGCCATCAAGTCAACTCTGACTCATAACGACCCTATGAACAATGGCTCTGAACCGTGCCCTATCCTGAGCCAACCTCACCATCTCTGACACCCTGACCCCATTGCTACAGTTACTGTGTCAGTCCATCATCTCATCCAGGGTCTTCCTGTGCTGACTCTCTACCCTTCCAAGCAATATGTCCTTTTCTAAGGAGTGATCCCTCCTGGAGACATACCAAAGTATTTGTGAAGGAACTTCAAAGTCCTTGCCTACAAAGAGCAAACTGGATTCACCTTCTTCAGGACAGACCTATTTATTCTCTTGCTAGTCCATAGTATGTTCAATACTCTTCTCTAGCACCACAACTCAAAGGCATCGATTTTTCTTCTGTCAGCCTTAGGCATTGTCCAGCTTTCAGATACAAGCAAGCAATTGCAAACACCATGGCCTGTATCAGGAACACCTTAGTCTCTAAACTGATATTATTGCTCTTTAGCACTCTGAAGAGAGATGCTCAAATGAATGTAGAAGTATGTTCTATCCATACTAGGTGTGTTTATGGGAGTAGTTCTTCTTTTTTTTTTTTTTTTTTGGGGGGGGAGTAGTTCTTCTCACCTGCCCATATCTGTTCACCTTCTCAGACCATTTTATAAACTCCGTAGGCAGCACACCTCCCCTACCATGCTCTAGCAATTAATTTGCTAAGTTGCTTCATGTTTGCTAAAGCTTGCAGAGTGGCAGCAGATGTTGCCACATCCTCTGTGGCTGCTCAGTTCCCTCAGAGCCTATTTTCTGTAGAAAGAAGTTCAGTTCGAGGCATATGGACAGAAGGAAAATGACTTTGAGGATGATGACATGTTTTTCTTTCTAATAACGCATAGAGTGATTATGATGATAGAACAGTCTGCTATTTCAGGGACCGTGGGTTCCTCCCCTCACTGCAGCAGCTTCTCCTGTCTGTTAAACAGACAGAGGGGAGTAGGAGGAGGGATGGAAAGTCAACAGTCATTTGTGTAGGAAAAAGGTGAGGAGGACAAAAAGCGGTCTTCAACTGACGTTGAGGGAAATGATTCCTGGCCCAACGTCAAGGTTCGTTGAATGCTTCTGATAAAATACTAAATCTTCACCAAACTCATTTTTTTTTTAGTGTTACATGTTTTGTTCCTTCTTTAAATCAAAGACTACACGTGGTGACCCTGTGAACAGCAGACCTGAACCCTGTACTATCCTGTGCCATCCTCACAATTTGTCATTATGTCAATCCTTCTCTGGTTGAGAGTCTTTCTCTCTTTTACCGACCCTCCAGCTTTCCAAGCATGATGTCCCTCTCCAAGAAATAGCCTTTCCTAGCAACATGCCCAAAGTATATGAGATGAAGCTTTGTCATATTTCTCTAAGACATATCTGTTTGTTCTATAGGCCAGGTGTTTTGGAGCCAGCTTGAGATCTTAAAAGTCCCCTTGAAAATATGGCACAGCCTTATTCATATGTCTATAAGAAATCATCCTTTTGATGGCCCTCATCTTTCCCTTAGAGAGCTCTGGGGATGTCGTCCCTACGGGGTTGTACAGCTAACACAGAGGTTATGCCCTCTGGCTATTTGAGTCCACCTCGAAGGGAGGTGGCTCCAATATGATTCACAGAAACCCAAGGGAAGGGTCCTGGATAATGTAGGTGAGAACAAAACTCCAAATCACAATAATGGCCAGGCCTACTAGCTTGAAAGAAACTAGTGGCAACCCTGAGGCCCTCAGCCACTCTCTGAGTTTAGAACTGAACTCATCCCTAAAGCACAATTTTTACCCATTCAATTCAATGACTCAGCATGCTGTCATTGAGCCAAGCTGATACATAGCTGACCCTCAAGTTTTCAGAAGCTATAAACCCCATAGGAGGAGATTGCCCATCTTTCTCCCTCAGAGCAACAAGTGGATTTGAACCATGTACTTTTGGGTTGGCAGTGTAACTCCTTACCCACTAGGCCACCAGAACTTCCTTCGCCAAAGAGTACACAGTTCTGTGTAGTCAACAATAACACCAGGAAGATACTTAGTCCTTAAAATACTCAATCCCCAGGATTAGCAAGGCAGCATTTGTCCAAATCAGAAAGGTAGCATGGTTTTTTTAAAACTCAGAAGGTTGCAAGGATGCAGCTGGAGGGCTGAATGAAAACAGGAACCACAGTGAGAGTGGGAAGAGATACAATTTGAGGATTGAAATCAATGGAAATTTTTTTAAAATAAAACCAGAAAAAACCTAAGTACACATTGGAGTTAGTCCCATGGAGAGCAAACAATTTAAAGGATGACATTCCCATTATTTTGCAAACATTGATTGAATTACACCAAACTTAATGTGAACTGATATTATGTATTTTTATTTTTATTGTAAAGCTTTATAACTAACATACCATTGTAATATTGTCTTCTAGGCTGCTAGAAATTGTCTTGTAAATGAAGCAGGCATTGTGAAAGTATCCGATTTTGGGATGGCCAGGTATGACTGATATGTGAATATTGTCTATAGATTTTTAATAAAATTGATAAGAGGCTTGCAGGTACAGAAAGTATACCTTTTTCTTTACGGTTGACATCAACTTCTTCCTCTGACACTTATTTAAGAGGTGTTTGAAATTGTATCTTTTGCTCCATTAACGGAATTATTAGTAATGATCATAACTTTTTAATAGGGAAACTAAATGCTTTTCCTGCTTCATTATTATGTTTTATTCAAATTATTAAAATGATGTTGTTGTTATGTGCTATTGAGTCGCCTGCAACTCATAGTGACCCTATGTACAAGAGCCCTAATCCCAGCTCTATCCCGTGCTGATCTTATTGTCTCTGATACCCTCATTAGCCCAGTCACTGAATCAATCTATCTCCTCTCCTGTGCTAACCCTCCACCCTCCCAAGTATGATGTTCCTCTCCAAGAACTGGTCTCACCTTACAACATGTCCAAAGTACCTCAAACGAAGCTTCAGAATCAGAATCCTTGCCTCTAAGGGACATCCTGATTTCACTCTTTTTAGGATGAACCTGTTTGTTCTCCTGGTAGTCCATGGTATTTTCAGTACTCTTCTGCAAGACCACAGCTCAAAGGCATCAATTCTCTTTCCGTTATCTCTAGTCATTGTCCAGCTTTAGCATTGACCCATAGCAAGTAATTGCAAAGACCATGATGGCCTAGATCAGGTGCACCTTAGATTCTAGGCAGACATCATTGCTCTTCAGTACTTTGCAGAGGTCTCCAGCCATAGACTTTCCCAATGCAGTTTGTCTTCTTATTTCCTGGCTACTGGTACAAGGAGTGTTGATTGTAGAGCAAAGCAAACTAAAGTTGTTAACAGTCTCAGTCTCTTCACCCTCCTTCATGACGCTGCCATTCGTCACAGTGGTGAGAATATTTTGTTTTCTTGATGTTGAGCTTCATTATTATTAAAATAGATTATTGAAAATTCATTGCTGAATTTATTCTTTTTACTATCAACTTTAGTTATTTTTTTTCTTAGGGAAACAAACTGTTGAGAAATTATTATTATTTATAATGCTTTGTTGTGTGGCTTTAGGTGATTTTCATATTATCTTGAAGAATTAACAAGTAAAACTTGAGGAATCAAATGCTTACCAAAACAGAAAAAACTCTTAGTCACTCTTCGGAGATAAAGAAATGCATTAAAATGTCCAGGTATACATTGTGGTGTTAGTCGTTTTTTCCACTAGATGGTAGTGTGGCCTGTTAAATATTCTCCTTTCTGGCCTTATTTCCTCGTGTGGATTCTCATTTTCGCAGAAGTGCACTTAGGGTGATGTTTTCCAGTATACCTGTACCTACACCTGCATGTTTTTAGTTTCCTCCTTTTTGTAACTTTTAAAAAAA